ATTCCTTTACTTATGAAGGTATGATCATTCCCTAAATTAGCCAACGTGGGATTCACATTCCCAACCATCCTCAACACTTATCCTACAAAAATTAATGAAACTATGGACACAATTGAAATTACAAAAAATGGTGGAATAAAATCTAAAAGTATTAGCACACTGGTTAAATGTTCAAGTTTTCGCTAAATTATGGATATATTAACCCAATTGATCATTAATTAACCTACTTGAAAAACAACTCATTACAAAGATGTGATTGCTTTTATTTTATAATATTCTACATTTCTAAAAACTTCAAACACATCAAATTAAACAACTAAGATTAGATTGAGGTCAACTCTATTGGTAAGATTTAATCAAGACGAGACCAATTGAGATTGACTAAGATTGATCATCATATCTCAAACTCGAAACCTCTAGAAATCGCACTAGAGATGGGAAACTTGGAACAATTAGCCCCATAGGCATGATCTAGCCTGTATCACTATGAGAATGCCACTAACAACTTTTTCCAACATTTTGATTAAATCATGAATGCTACATGACATAGAGATTACACACAGATATTCACTCAACCCTAAATGAAGAGGCATGAGCAAGAGAAATTAGTTAAAAATGAAGTGATGTTCTACCTGCTGCTACTGCAAATACCGGATGGATCTGCATTCATGATTATCCAGGGATGCTCCACTATCTTCTGAAGTGAAAGTCTTCTAGAGGAGTCCTTCACCAAGAGCTGTGTAAAATTTTAATATAATCAGAGCCATACCAGAAGTATGCATATCATTCCTACTCCTACCAAATAAAGACATTCACAAGGTTAACTAACCCGGCCAATTAGATCTTTTGCTTCGGAAGAAACGTGAGGAGTCGAGGGAAAATTCAAATCAACCTTCATTATCCTGCATATATGACACAGGCCCAAACAACTATTTATAATCTCGAGAAAAAATAAAATGCAACACTTCTCATATTTTTTATAAATCGCATTCTTACCTTTTCTAAAGATTGAGTTATTTATTAGAAGTTCTCCAAGTTTTCGTGGAGAGATTAATCCATACTACATACATTTTTTAATCTTCGAGCCGAAATCCTATTAGATGAAATTCTAAAACTTAAACAACTTAGTTGAGGGCTCCATAAACTGAAGGTTCACCCATGGTTGATGGGACATTCCCACCCTATCCATTTATTTCTCCCTCGTTACACTAATGAGTTGTTACTAATTCATTCAAGGAAGGCATAGATCCCCACCTACTTTATTGTCTTATTAGCACATGTGTTCGTCAATGATGAAAGCTGCTAAGAACTAAATTTACACCCGAACATTTTAACCTTAAAATTTTTGGGTAGAATCTATTTAATCCTGATGTGTTATGTATAAGTAGCCTAATAAAAATGAACGACATGAGAAAGTAAGCAGTAGCCACTCTTTAATGAAGATAAGGATCTTAAGTCTGTGTTCTTTTTGCAAATTATATGTCTAACCTTTTAAACGTGTCACTTTGACTTTCAGCTTCAAATGGAGGCACTCCATAAAGGAACTCATAGCAGAGAATGCCCAAAGTCCAATTATCTACTGCATAGTCGTGAGCTTTATTCTCCACCATTTCTGGGGCTAAATAATCCAGAGTTCCACACATGGTATGTCTCTTGCTTCTCGACTGTACAGACCATCCAAAATCTGCAATTTTCAGCCGGCCCTACAAATACAACACGCAGAAAAACATATAATATTTTCTTTCTCTATGATCTACAAAGTGCGGTGAAATCTGGATTCTACCTCCAGGATAAAACGAGGGTTTTACTAAGGTTTTGAAAAAATCATGCGAAGAAACATTTTCTAAGCTGTGGAATGACAAAAAGAGAACTTATACCTCATGATCAAGCAGCAAATTTTCTGGCTTAATGTCCCTGTGAATCACATGCTTCTCATGGCAGTATGCCAATGCTTGTGTGAGACTTAAAATGTACTGAAATTCACAAGAAACA